ACCTGACTCCGTTGTTACATCCTCAAACCCCCACAGCTTCAACCTTAAACTGTCTACTGTGGACCTCACCCCATTCCTAAGAGGTCCGTAAAGGGTGTGTGCAAAAGTGTATCAGTGTGTCTACTGTCCCTGTCCTACTGTCCCCATTTATTTGTTTTCATTTCCTTCATTCATGTACATGTTCATACTTATACCTGCTAACTTGTATATATTTGACAAACTAATAAAATAAAGAAAAAAATACTTGTTATAAATACCAGGAAATTCCTCTTTAGTTCTAGGTTCCTTCTCTTCTTGATTGGTTTCCATCCATTACTTCTTGTCCTATCCTCAGGTGCTTTGGAAAATAGATTGACCCCCCTCTTCTTTGCCACAACCCCTGAGATATTGGAACACTGCTATCATGTCATAGCAGAAATGACCATCATTCATCGTCATCAATATAAAGCAGAGATGCTGGATAATGAATTCAGAATTCAGAGAAACAATTAGAGTCTTTCAGGAATTAATTGCACAGCTGAGTAAGCAACGGATGGAAACTAATCAAGGAGAGAACCAACCTAGAACTAAAGAGGAATTTTCTAACATTAATCCGTGAAACACCTTGCCTCCAGAAGTTGTGGTTGCTCCATCTCTACAGGTTTTTAAGAAGATATTGGATAACCATCTATCTGAACTGAGAAGGAGAATTATTCCTGTAAAGAAAAGAGCCATAGTAACTCCATATTTAAACTCTGTATAACCTAGCCAACTGGGAGACATTAAGATAAGGAGTTGTGTAAGAGACTTTTTTGGGGGAAACACAGTTATAAATTGATTAGTATATTCCAGGTCAGGTCAGGCTAACATTGGCAGGAAAAAGCTGTTGTGTTAGGATTGATAGCATTATTATGAAAAAATGTGGCAAGGGTATTTCCTGGAGGATTTCTTGTTCGGGGAAATTGCAGCGAAATAGCCAAAAACTTCTCTAACATAAGATAGCCAGTGAGGATGAGGGGCCGTGTGTTGTTTTTCTTCTTTGCTGAAAATATATTTAAACCATGTATTCAAACCTCTACTTTGCTCTCTCCTACGAGAGGATTCTTTTGCAAAAGCCTTCTAATAAATTGCTCTTTTTATTATTCATGGTCTCCTGATTTTTCACCTGAGAGGTTTTACATCTCACATATAGGGTGTCTTGAACAGGAGACTGCAATAGAAGACCTTCAAGGTCCCTTCCAAATCTTATTATTCTTTTGTCTCCACAACATGCTGAAGAAATGGAGAGTACAAGAGCTTTGCGGTTCCTCACCTTAGCCGTAGCCCCAGTTTGAGTTTGGGTTACCGGTGCCGACTTAGTGGAAGAGTTGCAGAGAGACACACTCTTCTGTCCTTGCTGAGAGGTGCTTTCAAGAGTCTGGGCTAAGGAGCCTTCCTCCGGAGGGACATCCCTGGAGCCGGTAGACTCACTGCTGGTAGAGCTGTGGCATAAGGGTTGGCTGGGGTCGGTGCTGACTGAGCAGTGAGTAAGCACGTATTGCTCCTGAATGTAGGAAGGCTGGTAAATCCGCTTCCAGATATCTCCTCCAGACACTGGATCTCCACCTGCAGAGAAAAGAATTTATGGTGATCTGGCTTGGAGAAATTTCCAAGGTATTTTGTATCCCACCCATCCCTCAGCTGGAAAGGTCAAGAAGGGAAGTAGATCTTCCTCTAAGCCAGTGATGGTGAACCTTTTTGGTGCCCAGTGCCCAAAGCATGGGTTCCCCCCAAATGCAATGCAAGCATCCCACATGCATGCATCCCACACCCCATGCATGCGCTCCCATGCACATGAATATGCGTCCCCCACGCATGCCCCCCATTCCCCTCTCACTGATTTTTGGCTTCCAAGTTGGTGCAGGAAGCTTTCCAGGCCAAAAACAGGGTACGGAGGGGCAGGCACATGCATGCGAACCCCTAAAATACAATGTGAGTGCCCCAGCTCATGCACCCAAATCCCCTGCACATGCCCCGTTTCCCACACATACAGGGCAGTGATGCGAAGACCAGCTGGCCGGCGGGAGGCACACACAAATATGCGATGGAGCTGGGCTGGGGCGATGGCTGGCGTGGCTGCAGAGAAGGCTGTGCGTGCCACCTGTGGCACGCGTGTCATTGGTTTGCCATCATGGCTCTATGCAATGATGCCTGCTGTTAAAAGCACCCCCCTTCTTTTAATTAATTCAAAGGGGAAATTCACCGTGTAAGTGCAGAGACACGTAAACAAAAGCCCCGGAGAGACCTCTAGTCTCAGAAAGCCTCTGGTACAAGATAACATTAAGAATGAGAATTATCATGGTAGCAATTATGTCTTCATTCCTCCTGTGATTGTTTATTAAAGTGTCGCATTAATTTTTAATGCGACCGAAAGGGAAACGATTAAAGGCCATACAGAGTAGCGAGTTAACCCTATTCGCTGTAGTTTCATTTAAGGTCATGTAAATGCTACTAAAATTACATCGCAGGGTTGTTGTTGGTTTTTTTTTTTGGCCCTGTTACTTTTGGGAATGTGGACATGTAGCAGAGGTGGTATTAAGCTGGTTCTAACCGGTTCTGGTGAACTAGTATCGGAAATTTTGAGTAGTTCGGAGAACCGGCAAATACCACCTCTGGCTGGCTCCGACCCCATCTATTCGATGCCTCTTGAGTCCCAGCAGATCGGCTGGGTCTTCTTCTGTTGCACTGCACAGGAGAAGGGAGCTGGAAAACAGGTTAGTGGGGTGGGGAGGGAATGGGGATTTTGCAGTATCCTTCCCCTGGAGTAGGGAGGGAATGGAGATTTTGCAGTATCCTTCCCCTGGNGCTGTTGCCTTCCCACCAAAGGTGGTTCCTATTTTTTCTACTTGCATTTTTACATGCTTTCGAACTGCTAGGTTGGCAGAAGCTGGGACAAGTTATGGGAGCTCACTCCATTATGCATTGCTAGGGATTCGAACCGCCAAACTGCCAACCTTTCTGATTGACACCCTCAGCGTCTTAGCCACTGTGCCACCACGTCCCTATTTTTACTTTTACACACTGGTAAAAATCTCAACCCTTCCTATTTGTCCTTCTCTTCCTGTTCCTCTCTGTTCCCAAAGTACATCAACTTTCTCCATCCCCTTCGCTTACTGGAATCAGCAACAGCCTTGGGCATCTTCTGCAGCTCAGGCCCGATCTCATCCAACTTCCCTTCCAGAGACCGATTGGGTTTCTGGGATACTTTCTCCAGGGCTCGGCGCAGCCGATGGGCATCCAACTCGCCATGCGGGGAAGAGAAACTACGTCCAGACATGGCAGTCCGGGCCAGGGCTTTCTTCTTCCGCATCAACTCTTCAGAGCTCAGGGCAACGGAGGCCTTCAGAGAGAGGGAAAGAGAAAGGTCCAAACTGGAAATGATGTCAGAAAGCCAAATGATTTTTCCTTGTACAGATCCATGAAGGACCTGGGTGTCCTTAATGAAAAGGTGATGATGAATAACAACAATAATGGAATAATAGAGTTGAAAGGGACCTTGGACGTCTTCTACTCTAACTCCCTTCTCAAGCAAGAGATCCTTTACCATTTCAGACAAATGATTGTCCAGTCTCTTTTTAAAAACCTCCAGTGTTGGAGCATCCACAACTTCTGGAGGCAAGTCGTTCCACTAATGCAGGGGTCAGCAACTTGAGGCTCTGGAGCCACATGTGGCTCTTTCATCCCTCTGCTGCGGCTCCCTGTTGCCAGTTGGCTTCACAATTGATAGGGCTTTTGGTTAGGACAGGTAGAGGAAAAAGGATGTTGTGCTAGGAGGAGACTCTATGGTGGTGGGGGGACCAGACATCTGGTCAGCTCCAGAACTGAATGGGGGGGGGGCATCCAGTTAGGACCTTTGTGGCTCTTTTGAGTGTTTAAGGTTGCTAACCCCTGCACTAACAATACTTCAGCTTCATTTGCAATAATACACAGGCAAACAATCGATACAAACTCAAGGTAAACTGCTCCAAACTCGATTGCAGAAAATACGACTTCAGCAAGAGTGGTCAACGCTTGGAATGCACTACCTGACTCCGTTGTTACATCCTCAAACCCCCACAGCTTCAACCTTAAACTGTCTACTGTGGACCTCACCCCATTCCTAAGAGGTCCGTAAAGGGGGTTTGCATAAGCGCATCAGCATACCAACATCCCTATCCTACTGTCCCCATTTATTTGTATTCATTTCCTTTGTTCATGTCCATGTTTATATTTATACCTGGTATCTTGTACATGTCTGACAAACCCAATAAATACAAATAAATAGGGACAGTAAGACAGGGATGGTAGGCACGCTGTACACTTATGCATGCC